CTATCTATCTATCTATCTATCTATCTATCTATCTATCTATCATCTATCTATCTATCATCTATCTAGTCATCTGCCATAGAAGCACTGTGGTTAGACTGCAGCATTGCAGGCTAATTCTGCCCACTGCCAACAGTTTGATTCTGACCAGCTTAAGGTTGACTCGGTCCTTCTATTCTTCCGAGGTGGGTCAAATGAGGACTCAGATTGTTGGGACAAGAGGCTGACCATGTAAACTACTTACAGAGGGCTGTAAAACGTTGTAAAGCAGTATATAAGTCTAAGGGATATTGCTATTTTTCCCCCTCTCCTCCTTCCCCCTCCCTCCCCCCAGGAAGAAGAGGCCAAACAGCTCGTGAGAGACGCTATTGCAGCCGGCATCTTTAATGACCTGGGCTCGGGCAGTAATATTGATATCTGCGTCATTAGCAAGAACAAGCTGGACTTCCTCCGTCCGTTCAACACACCCAACAAAAAGGGGGAAAGGTGAGACGTGTGTGTGTGTGTTTGGGTGAACCAGAAGGGTTTCTTTTGCTTAGGGTTGCAACGGATGTGCAAAAGGGGACAGTGGTCTGGAGGTCTTGCATACGGGGGTGAGAAACCTTGGAGCACAATAATAACCAAAGGTAGTTCTCGACTTACAACATTTCAGTGACCGAAGTTAAAAAGTGACTTACAACTCTTTTTTTTCCACACTTAAGACGGTTGCGGCATCCTCGTGACCAAAACTCAGATTGTTGGCACTTGACTTGTATTTACGACAGTTGCGTTGTGTCAGAGGTCGTGTGATCCGCTTTTGCGACCTTCAGACAATGAGGAAGCCAGATTCACTTAACAACTGGGTTCCTAACTTAATTACAACGATTCGCTTAACAATGGTGGCGAGGGAAGTCGTACAATGGGGCAAAACTCACTGAACCCATGCCTCGCTTAGCAACACCCATGTCGGGCTCAATTGTGGTTGTAACTCAAGGACTTGCTGTCTAAGGTAGCCTGCAAATGTCTACGGAGATTCTCGGTCATCCGAGAATTTCGAGAGGCGACTGAACTTCCTTGTGTTTCCTTGAAGACCTTTTGCTTCTCAGTTTCTTCAGTTCTGACTGAACATAAATCCTTCAGTCAGAACTGAAGAAA